GGTCTGGCGGCGGCGAGAGGTCGGAGGGGCGGGGCGCCGGGGCGGCCCCAGGGGTGTCGCGCGCGGGGGGCGAACGCCACTCACCGCGGCCGGATACCAGCACCAGAAGCCGGACTGCCTGCTCGAGACGAACGAGGCGAAGAACGCGGGACTGCGGCGGGGTTGCAGCGTTAAAGCGGTGGCACCCGCACTTCCTGCCTCGGGAGGCGGGCCGGAAGTCGCACCGGAAGTCGCGGCGGGATCCAACTCCAGGTTGGGGGATGCTCTGCGGCTCTCGCTCCGCTCGAGGCCGAGTCCGCCTTGTCCACCCGGGCGCGGGGCTGGGGCCGACAACCACGGCTTGGGTTTTCGCGGCGTGTCCCGCGGCCCTTCCGCATTCCCGGGCCGGCTCGGGGCCGGCCTGGAATTTGACCCGGCTGGGCGGGCGCGAGCCTCGAGGTTTGGGGGTCTGCGGGCGCCGCCCACCCAGGGCTGCCCGAGTTAGCAGGTAAAAGTAGACCTCACCTGGTTACACTTGAACTTCAGATAAAACGAGCAATTTTTTAGGTTCCGTCCCGCGCCACACTGGGGAAGGTAAGAGGGCTGCGGCCGAGCGGTCTCCGTCTGCTTTACAGACTGCACGCCCAGACCGAGTTCTATCATTTACCCCTGCCCCTCCTGTTTTACCCCTCAGATTATCAGGTTTACGCCCTTACCAGGCCACGGCTGGTGACGGTTTCCCCTTTCAACCACAGGAAAGCTTTATTCAAGTTATTTGCTTTCCTTTGGTTCGTTAAATGCAGATTTACGCACACACAAACGCGCACACACTATATAATGCTCTTGGTCAAAACAAAAGAAACCACGAAGCTACATAATTCAATTTTTGTTCTAGATATTGTTTGTGCCTATAACCTTAAAGTTCCCTCACCTTGGAATATTACAGATAGATACTACTATTTCCGGATAATGGAAGATAGTCAACTTAATAGCAAACCTTCGTTGAGCACTTGTGATTGCCTGAATGTGTGCGGGATTCAGGGAGATGAACGAATAATCCAGTCTTATATTCTAGAAAAGTCTGAGGAGAAATTGGATATCTTTGATCAGGAATTCCTAGATGGTAGGAACCATGTGTTCAACACTCTATAGCAGTAGTTCTTAAACAGTAGCACCAATAAGAAAAACCTGGGGGCTATGTAAAAGATTCTGGAGCCCAGCCCCAGGTATTCAGATTCAGTAGGTCGAGGCAGGGGCAAGAATCTGCATTCCTAATAAGCCCCAGGTGAAGCTTATACCGTGGTCCTCGGAGTTAGCACTGCCCCAAGGTCCTTAACTGAATGCATTTTCTCAATAGAGTTTGAAACCAATTGCTGAGAAATCATATCTGGTTCTAAAATATTTACTCTTTTCCTTAGCTGTAGTCTGCCCTTTGGTCCAATAATTTAAATATTTTTCCACTCCTGAGAACATTTTGGCTTCTGACGTCTTTGTCAGAGAGCTCTTCCAAGTATGGTCTATTACTATACCATAAGCCCTCACCCTGGCCACCTTAATTGAGATCATAGCTGAGACACTCTGTACTTTGACTTTGATCTCCATATTTGTTTCTAGAACTGCTTTCTAACACAGTGGAAACCACATGTGACTATTTAAATGTAAATTAAAAACTCAGTTATATTAGACACATTTTAAGTGCTCAATCGTCACATGTGACCTAGTGTCCTTATTGGACAGCACAGAGAGCACATTTCCATCATCACAGAAAATTCTACTGGATAGCACTGTTATAGAAAAATAATCCTCGGGTATAGTGTTCTCTCTAGATTCAAAAGAAAAAATATTTATTAATGAAAAGCTGAATATCTAAATACCAGATAATTGTTTATTATGGTCATTAAAAAGAATGGTTTAAAAAAAGAATATACTTAAAACTCAAAACAAAAATGGTGGGTATGCCAAAACATGACAATTTAAGATATATTAAACTAAAAAGGTGTATATTCACTACAACTACAAGATGTATGTAGGTAAATGTGAAAGAGAAGTTAATGATGCCTATTATTTGAGCAGGCACATATAAACCTAGGATAAAAAGATACAGGGACTTGGGAAAACTAGCTGTTTCTTCAATATGGGATTAGCTTCAGCAATGCCTTTCAGGACAGCAAAGATAAAAACCAGGGTTGCAGGGCAATCAAGAAATCGTACACTTAAGGAGGATCTAGAAAGGCACAAACTATTCTGGCATATTGGACCTACTCAGGAAATCTAAAATAAACTATTTGAGGATCTACTTGGTACCACACATTTTTATGTATATTCTCATTAAATGCTCATAACAACCCTTTAATTAAATTCTAGTTTGAGACAATTTACTATCAAACCACTATGGACCTTTCTCCTATCCTCAGCTTTTAATCTCCAACTACGATTAAACTCCTATCACCTACCCTTTCCCGTTTTCAGAGGTAGCGGTATCCATTTTTGTTTTTCTAAGAATAATCTTACAACATGTGATCTAGGTTCTATCTCCTCCTAGCTCCTGCACATCATTCCTTTGGTTTCACTCATTTGCTTATACTCATTTGCCTTCTTCCTCTGTCTACAGACAGGCTTGAATCTCTAAAGAAATGCTCTTTGGTCCTACCTTCCCTTCAAGCCTCTCCTCACTGCCCAACAGCCCCTGCTGGTAAACAGAATAACCACTATTTGAATACCTACTGTGTGCCAGACCCATTTAGCTTTAGTGTTTCTATTTTCACAACAAACGTGGAGGGTATTGTCCCTGTTAAAACAGGTGAGGAAACTGACACTTAGGGCTGGGCCACCTGCCCAAGGACACAAAGCTCATCAAATAACAGGCATTATTCACTCAACCACATCTGGCTCTAAAACCCATACTGCTCCTAATCACAAAAATGCTGCTTTATATATTAATAGATTATGTTCCTATTATAAGCCAGAGCATTACTTCAATTTTACAAATGAATAGAGGTCGAGCGAGGTTAAATAACTTTTTTAAGGTTATAAAGCCATGATGTAGCACGAATGAGATTAAAATGCAGCTGGCCTGAACCTCAAACCCAGGCATTGTCCGTGTCTCCTGCTACACTATGGATTCTGCACTCAAAACTACCTAAACAGCTCTGGCAGAAGTGACCGACTTGCCAAATCCAGTGGCCTCATTTAAATTTTCCTGTGTTCAATTTTTCTGTGGTTTAACACTACTAACTTCCTCACTCTTGAAAGTATTCACTTGGTTCCATAACACTGTTGTGGCTCTATCTACTAAGCTCTTTTACCATCTTCTATCTGATCCTTCTTACAACTTGCCTGCACTTCTCAAAGTCTAGTATATCTCTTGCTGTCCTTTCCCCCCTCATATGTTGTAAAAAAAAAAATAGTTGCCTTTCCTTTCCAGAATTTGCTTTTACTTGTCTCATATAGTCTGGCCTGCTCCCTTTTTTCCCAGTAGCACTCATAAATTCCCACTCTCGTGCAGTCATAGAGGCTCCTCGATCAAATAAAATTTGGGCCCTGGAGTCCAAATGACAATGTAATCATAAGCAGGTGGGTAAGGAGGCTGCCCCCATTAGGCTGGTTTTGAAATGGTTTGTTTCAAGTCTGGCTTTCATCGTGGAGACCAGTTTTTCTATCAAATGCACTGTTGGAGTAGATGCTTTAGCTTTTTACTGTCAATCAGCTTTACTTAAGCAAAGCCTACTTACTACATAGAGAATGCTATTACTAAATGAGGAGACATTTCATTCAGAAGAGACTATCCACTGTTTCTAATGGCGGCTGGTTCTTTGAGCAGTTATCTGAAATGGAAGTGGAGATACTGCAAGAGATAATTTTAGTAGATGAGGCTACCTTTTTTTCAGTACGGAAACAATGTTATTTGTTCTTGACTGGAAATTTGTTAAACAAAGCAGAAGTTTTTTTTTTTTTTTCAGTTGAAATGTAAATTTAGTTCAACAATTTCAGGATCATGGCTATACCCTGGACAAAGTACTTTGCTTAAACCACTGAACAGAATTCAGGAACACATTAAAGGCAGAGTTAAGGCAGGTGCTAAGATTCTAATCTTGAAAGGGCCAAGAGCAGTCTTGTTACTAGCCCTACTCCTATTTTAAGCTGGTCTCCTGAGGTTAAAGAATCTAGCTCACCTATCCCGTTGAGTGTAAAGGTCTGCTGCCCTGAAGGCATTCAGTAATTGCATATTCAATGGGGTAATAGTTTTGTCCAAGGACAGTCTTGTTAATAGTAGTATAAAACATAAAGTTATAGTAATTATCAATTATTCATCTTCACAGGTTAATTGTCAACCCTCTTCACCCAACTTTTCCCCCACTGTTTCAAGATCTTTCTTAAACTTATGAATCCTTGAGAGTCAGATTTTTGAAGCCCAAAGTGAATGAAACTGTCTACCATTTCCTGATTAACTCTGAAAACAGTCCTGCATTCCT